TGGCGGACGCCTCGTCGAGCTCTTCGTCAAGGAGTCTGAGAAAGAGTCGAAAACCAAGCAGGCGTTGGGCCTGCCAAAGATCAGCCTCTCGGAGATCGATCTCCAGTGGGTTCACGTGCTCAGCGAGGGCTGGGCGAGCCCGCTCAGGGGCTTCATGAGAGAGTCCGAGTTCCTCCAAACGCTTCATTTCAATTCGCTCCGGCTCGAGGACGGGTCGGTTGTGAACATGTCGGTACCCATCGTTCTCGCTATCGACGATGCCCAGAAGAATCTGGTCGGGTCGTCTACCAGCGTGGCGCTTGTTGATGAGAAGGATGCTCTGGTTGCTGTTTTGAGCGAGTATGTATGGTTTGTTTTTGGTTTCTACGTTTTTTTTTTTTGTTAATTCTTTATTTAAAAAATAGGATGAACAAAGCTGAATAGCTTAAGGGTTATTTGCTTTAGATGTTTTCTTGTACATCTGTTGTTCTTGCTTTTATCTTGCTTATGGTATGTGAATAAATTATTTCTGTATAATCTGGCCACCTCTGTTTAGGTGTCTTTGTGTGATGCGTTTATTTTGAGTGTTAAATATCCATCAACATGTTGAAAGTGAGATAATTTGTATGATATGATCGTGTAAACATTTTTTAAATGAGCATTCCGAAGTAATCAGTGGTTGGAACTGAATTTTACGAGAACTGAGTTGTTCATGACACCAATTATATCAACCGAAAGTGCAGTATATTCGAAATTAATCGAGATGCACTATACATTTTCACGTTCAGTTGATTTGTGTCTTTGTTAAAATTACGTATTTTGTAGGCATTGGTTCATAATCTCGTATATTTTTTACTACAATGTGGTTGCACAAGTTACTGTTTATGAAATACATAACATAGTCATTGGTTTATTCATTAAGATTTCTGAATGTGTGAATGAGAAGGCAGCTTGCTTGTTCTTGTATGAGAAACGTACCTCATGGCGTTAACCTTGGTGTCATGCCTTTTTTTTTATTCATCTTTACCTTATGAATTCCAAAAAAAAGGAATTCTTAAACATATAAATAATGATCTTTTTCTGAATTTCGAATGGATACAGTATCGAGATATACAAGCACAACAAGGAAGAAAGAATAGCAAGGACCTGGGGCACAACTGCCCCAGGGCTGCCTTATGTTGAGCAGACCATCACTAATGCTGGAAACTGGTTGATCGGTGGTGATTTAGAGGTGATTAACCCTGTCAAGTATGAGGACGATTTGGACCGTTTTCGGCTGTCGCCCGCACAGCTCCGTGAGGAGTTTGAGAGGCGGAATGCAGATGCTGTGTTTGCTTTCCAGCTTAGAAATCCGGTGCACAATGGACATGCTCTATTGATGACTGACACGCGACGTAGGCTGCTGGAGATGGGTTATAAGAATCCAGTCTTATTGCTTCATCCCTTGGGAGGATATACTAAGGCAGACGATGTCCCGCTTAGCTGGCGGATGAAGCAACATGAGAAGGTGAGTTGGATTTTTTTGTTTTAAGTTGTGATTTTTTTTTTCCACAATTTTGCGGTTGGTTAGGATAAAAAATAAGATGATGTGGGAGTTGAGTGTGAAGACAAGTAATTGGGGAAAAACTGAATATGCATTTTTTGAGATTCGAGTTGGGTATGAGATTGAAAATATTTTGGTAGTTTATTTCATATATAAATTGTGAAGTAATATGATTGAAAATGATTGGCTTAGGAAACGTTGAAAGTGAATGTTGTAATTTTGCTGGGTAAAGTAGCTTACTGATGAACAGAAGAACACACTTATGTCAATGCTGATTGATATGGTTGATGATACGTAAAATGAGTGGGTGGACAATGGATTTTTTTATATGCAATCCAGAATTAAGGCAAGAAAATGTTTATTTCATCTCATATGTTACCCCTAAAAATTCACTTAGTGGTGTATATGTTCTCTGGTGAAAATGCCACATTTGATGCACTAATATAATTTTGGAAAATGGCCACATACATCGAACAGGTACTTGAAGATGGTGTCCTGGATCCAGAAACCACAGTTGTGTCTATATTCCCTTCTCCTATGCACTATGCTGGCCCAACTGAGGTGCAGTGGCATGCTAAGGCTAGAATTAATGCAGGGGCCAACTTCTACATTGTGGGCCGTGATCCAGCTGGCATGAGCCACCCAGTCGAGAATAGGGACCTCTATGACGCTGATCATGGCAAAAAAGTTCTCAGCATGGCTCCTGGACTAGAGCGCCTCAACATTCTGCCCTTCAAGGTAAAGGAGCACCAATTCTTGACTATTTCTGTTATTTATGAAATGTAACTGGGCTTACCTGTCAATAAGAAAGAAAAACTAACCTTGAAACTTTGATATTTATATGTAGGTGGCTGCATATGACACGACACAGAGTAAGATGGCATTCTTTGATCCATCTAGGGCTCAAGATTTTCTCTTCATATCTGGCACCAAGGTATTCCTCTATTGTTGAACATTTACTTAGTTTTAGTTTATTATAATTCTGCTGTTAAGTTTTTTCTATCTACTATAAAGAAGGAACATCAACTTAATATTCTGTCTAACCTTTCGGGGGGGTTTTTTCAATCTTGAATGACAATTCCATTCTTGTAATTAGGTGAAACTATTCTTTTGTGTATTTTTCGTCCATTTTTCCCTTTATGTTTCCCATTCTTTTCGATTAATTTCTCGCTATATATATTCTCCAGATGCGAACCCTTGCAAAGAACGGGGAGAACCCTCCCGATGGATTCATGTGCCCGGGTGGCTGGAAAGTTTTGGTTGAATATTACGACAGTTTGGCCCCGACCGAGAATGGCAGACTGCCTGAGCCTGTTCTGGTTTGAAATTATTACAGATTGTCTAAAGTTGATCTATGTTTGGGATGGGATATACTTTTGCTCTCCTTCATATCTTACCAATGTGTATTTAATCTGGATTTTTGCTAGAATATCTTCTAGCTTAATAATAATAATAATAATAGTGCTCGAGTAATGTTTAGACGACAATGGCCTCAAAATCTTGTGTGATCGACTGTGTGGTACTGCTTTTAGCTATGATGATGAAGTGAATCAAGTTTTATCTTGTGTTTTTTTTAGAAGTTTTGTACAGTGGCAATGGTGATCAAATTAGCAAATTTCATTTAGCAGAGTGCTCTTGGTTGATAAAAGGAAATTAATGAACAAATCAAACAGGCTTAACCACAGGCAAACTGTAATTAGATATAACAATTTCACAGTGCAGTACAATTTTCCATTTACCCTTTTACAAGTTAAGAAAATACAATTACAAATCAATCTATTCAACAATGGTAGTAGCCATACAATGACCTAATTTTTTCTGAAACAAACAAGTTAAAACAACAATTAAGCAACTTGTATAAAACAACATAAAAAGTGAGAACCAATGTTAT